GTAATTGATTATTTTAGTGACATTTCTATTTTTCAGATTAATTTATATTTCTTGTACAAATAGGAATATAAAATTGTTTGACCTTTCAATAATTATCCTTTATATTGACGAAATATTTGATTTTTCATTAATTTTTTTATTTTATAGTAATTTATTTGCTTGATCCTCTTTTAGTGAGTAAAAAACGTTGGTATTAACTTTAGTGTTAAAAGTCTAACTTGACCGGCGAAGGGTTCAGTTTACATTCTATTCTCTATAATGCATTTTATTTTTTCAACTATGTGAAACGCGATATCACATCGCTGTTGGAAATATTGCTCCGATTAATCTAATCTTCAATTCTAAGCGATTTTTAAACGGACAATTCGAACGATTTTCTTTCAATAAATAAAAAAAATTTAGCGATCGAAATATGTGAAATGTTTTCAATGATGCGGATATGAAGGACGTTGAAACTATGACGCACTGCTGATCGCGGTGGCGTCGATTTCGGCCGCGATCCGCAACGCCCGCCGCGGTCGATAACGGTGCGGTGGAAACGCGTCGACGTTGCCGTAATCGAGCGCACACGTTCGTCGGGTACGGCGACGATGTCGCGTAGCAACACGTGAATTCCGGCACTAACGACGGTGGCTTGGCAACGTCGCGGCGGCGCGAATTCCGCATTCGCCGCGTCGAGGGGTGTATCTCTCGATGCGAACCGGCTGGAACACGGGTTCACCGATACATCGACGATGACGATGTTTAATTTCTGCTGAAAGAAACCAAACAAAACAACAGTCGTAATAACGTTGAAATGACGTTAAAATGACTCATGAAAAGTGACTTTTAACTGTCCTGGTGATTTGTTTCATTCGAACTTTAAAAATTCGAAGGTTCGATATTAAAATCTTCGAAGATTGAATTAATAATTGTATAATTTTGGTTCTCCGAAGACTGTGTCGAAGAATAAAAAATATACGAATATTAATTAATTTAATATAGCTAATAATAACGAATTACTAATAATAAATGATAATAAATTTATTCGCAGAATTAAGATTCTCATTAACACATTATTAATATTAAAAATACTTATTAACATTAAAAATTACTAAATTGCTTGTCAATCAATAAATGATATTATAGTATTTTGGTTTTGCTCATGATTACGTTTCAAGACCAAAAATATTTCGGCGCGCGATTTGCAGAATCAGATATGTATATAAATTCACACAGAAATATTTAAGCACTAAAATCCGCTTTGACCGAATATAGGATTTCTCTTGTTTAATTTGATTTAATCATAACGAATATATTGTTATAAAAAAAGTTATAAATATATTTACGAATATAATTTCATTACTTTCTATTTAGACAAATATATTTTTCAAAGCTCATCGTCAAAGTTGTCAAAAGTAATCCTACTTTTAACCCTTTGACGGTAATTTTCAGAACGCAATCAGGAAGGTGTGCTTGGATCCGATTGGTCTGTTTTATTCCCAAGCAGAACAACAAGTCATTATGATATAAAAATGATGTCAAAATGACTTCGAAATGATCATTAAAAGTTATTTTTCAATCATTTCCGTTTCATTTTAATGTCATTTTGACGTTATCGTGATTTGTTGTTCTACTTGGGTTCATTTTTTATTTAATCTATGTAAAAATGTATAAAATGAATACAAGAAGCAATTAAGAAATAACATGAAATTTCTCTCTATTTATAAATAAAAAAATAAATAATTCAACAAATAAGTAATCATTTTGATGTCACGAGGACATTTTGTTTTGCTTGGAAAACATTTCGAATAAATGATTCGGATAAATGAGGCACGAGAATACTTATTTGGTTCCTTGCATCTTTGGCTGCGTTCCGTTTTATGATGTGCATAATGCATCATTTATCCTTATTTAGCATTGAATGTTTAACGGTGAATAACAAGGATAAAAGATGCATCATGCGTGATGCAAACGGAACGTAGCCTTTATGTTATTCGCGAGAGGAACGACAAGACCGATCACACACATAAAGCGGCGTCTACAATAAAATTTTAAGACGTAAAGCTTAAGCCTTAAACCATAAGAAATTGGCCAATCACAGTCAAATGTGAAAAGAATAGTCGTCTATAGATCTGTTTTCTATAATTTATAACTGAACTAGTGTACACTTTCGGAACTTTAAAGTAAGACATACATATGTATGTATTTGATATTTGTTGAAAGCGAGAAGGAGAGTTTTAGTGCAGCTTAGTGCAGGAAAAAAAAACACCTTGATTGGTCAATTCTTAAGGCTTAAAGTTTAAATTTTACGTCTTAAAATCTCATTGTAAATACCGTTTAACGAGATGCAATATCTTTATGCTCATTCGCTCTACCGCTTGTCGCACCGAAATGTCTTTCGTGGTCACCGTCTTTTATTTTTGAAACTCCCTGCCGGGATGAAGTTGTCCCCTCCCTTATTTCGATATACTCACTTCGTCGTTACTTCATTCAACTTCGTGTAGTAACTTCATGTATCCACATCTGAGACACACATCCGTTTCGCTGTTATTTTAAATTTTAAAATAATAATACAACAAAAAAAGTTAAAATATTAAAAAAAAAGAAAGTGCTTTAAGACTTAAAGCACTTTCTTTTCTTTCTATAACTTTGACTCTTTTTTTCTTGTATTGTCCACGTATGTCTCAAGGTTTGCTTTCTAGCTAAACTGTTCACTCAATTTGCAATTAGATTTGGACCGTTTTATTAACTTTGTTAATCTCTGCTGCTATTACTATTCGCGAAACACTTACGCTAATGTTACTTGTACAGTTGGAATCTTTTTGCACTTGTTTCGCACTTTACGAAAAATTGCAATGAGATGTACATTTAACGGACCATTATTCTAAAATGAAATACAGAACTTTTAATTCATATTGAATTGTATGCTTGTATAAATATCTAATAACAACTTCCACCGGCGAATGCTTCTTTTATTAGGTTGCTGCGATAAATAGAAGTCCGAGAGACTCTAAAAAGCTATTAATGACTCTATTACGACTAGTATTTAACTTGAAGAAATTATGTTTCAAGAAACTATGTTTTCGATTTTAAGATGTTTATTAGTATCATTATTAAATTGGCGATCAATTTAGCTTGTGTATTATTATTTTAGTTTCAATTTATGATTGCGTTTCTTTCAAATAATTGGCATAATCGGTGTGCAGTTGATATTACTGGAAGATATATTTAAAATTGATATAAAATATATTATTAGGCATCAAAATCCAGTATCGACTATATTGGTGCCTCTTTATTTATTTGATTCTGTCGATTTTATTTGGCAATTAAAACGAGCAGGCGCAAAAAATGGAAATCTAGTAGTCTTTCGAAAGCCGTTAGGTCTGTTCGCGTGGCTCGAAATTCCCAAAAATTTTTGCACTTAAAATGAGATAAATATACATTCGGGCGTTGAAAAGCAAGAATGCGAAATGATAAGTGCAAAAAATGTAAGCCACGCGAACAGGCTTGTTAATGACTCTAGTAACTTCATCTATGTAATGACGACTCGAATCCTGGACTCAAACTCGAGTCTTAAAGGTACTCGAGCAACTTAAGAACCGATTGCTATCGACTCGAGTTTTCAGTATTGTGCGAGTACTTATTACTGGTACTAGCACTTTCGAATTAACTCAATTTAAATTGGGGTGCGTTCCAAAACTCGACTCTGTCAACTCCGAGAATAATAACAAAAGTGTCTTATATTTTCTAAATGAAATTTTAATTTTGTTTAAAAAAATACAATAAAAGAATATTATTAATAAAATTTATAACTTATGTTTTTTGTATTGACAATTCTAATAAATTTTTTTGACAGATGAATAAATATTTATTTCTGTTTATTTTTCCTAAAAACTAACTTAAGTTTTATGATTTTATGTGCTGATTTGTACTGTTATGAGTTTTGTTTTATGACAAAGAAACAGAGAATTATGAAACAATGAAACCAGCTATATTATATTGTACAGTTGCACTAAAATTATAAAGTACCTCAAAAGCGAAATTCGTTTTTTAGCAAAGCAAGTAAAATTATATAAAGGTCGCTATTTTTCGAGTCTCGTTTGACTGGAGTCTATATTAAATGGTTCTCGGTACTCGAATACTAAGATTTTAATTTAGCCGAGTCTAGATTGTATCTCTAATCTAATATTCAACTCTCGGGTGCAGAAAATAATCGAATCCAGATTCAATTCTTTACTAAACCGATTCTTTACTAATAATGAATACGAGTTACTCGAGTCTCCAAATAAACGAATCGTCATCACTATCAACATAGCAACTAGTAATTACGAAAAACTATTCAATGTTTTCGATTTGATTTAGCAAGGACGACCAAGCATGTTCTTGTGGAGACGTAAAAACCATGAAAAAAAGTCCTCTCTGTTCGCGCGCGATGCCCGGCGCGCTTTCGAGAGTTCCGAGATGTGAATTTCTGCGCGCGAACATTTCCATACTGCATAAGCCTCGTGCGGTCGTGTGCGTGTGCGTGTGCGTACATATACGCACGTGTATGCGTACACGCGTGACGACCGGCGACGCGATTCCGCCGTTCTTTCGGTCTGCTCTCGACCCGCGAGTCGCGACCACGGCCCTCAGCGGCCTCGCCGACCGGCGCCGGTCTGGCAACGTCGCGGGCGGCATAGATTCCGCTCCGCAACCGCAACCGCACGTTTGCCGCCGGGCCGCCATGATACCGAAGCCGTGCTGGCCGTGCAACGGTTTCTCCGCAGTGACGCGCAAGCCGCTGCCGACGACGCGACACGATAACGCTGGACGAGCAACACGACAGCGGCTGTTCCGTTTGCTGATTTTGATAATTCACTTTCGCGTATTATATTACCGATTAATAATCAAACCAGGTGACCATCGTGGTCTTTGTGACTGGAAGGAACCGGTGGTGTTCCACCGTCGATCTTGATCTCTTTTTCGAAAGTTTGAATTATCCGCGACGAATTCGAAAGATTATTTCGCCAGTTATTATCTGAGACTCATTAAAAGACTTTCGTTCGATAGGGACTTCATTGATCTTTGATTTCGAGAGATATTTTGGAAAGTACTATCGAATCGAATAGTTATTTCTTTGCACGAGGTGCAAAATCGAGTTGCAAAGCGGATGGACAGTCGCGAGCGAGTATAATTGAAGAAAAGAAAGACAATTTTTCGGTGACTCTATGAACATGTTCGACACGGAGAGGTTCATCGAGGAAATAGAAAGGCGGCCGGCGATCTACGATGTGAATCGCGGCGAGTACAACGACCGTAACGCCAAGATGACCGCGTGGGACGAGGTCTGCCAGGTGATGGTACCGAATTGGGCGCGCTTGACGGACGAGGAGAGAAACGTGGAAGGTATATGGCGTGGCATGGCTGCACTACGATTGATCGATCCGGATTCCTTCAACCGTCGAAACGCCGAATTGTAGCGGAAATCCAGAAACTTAAAACTGTCGCGAATCGATATTTTCCACGCGATCGAATTAATAGAGCTATCTCATTGAAGAGGTTTTTAAAAAAAGATTTAAAAAAGTTGTTCTAATGGAAAAGGTTTGGACAAAGACGTCTCAACGTCTCTGGAGTTTTAACAAAGAAAATGAAAGGAATTGGGGAAAACGCACTGCGGTTTTGATATATTAATTAGATGGCGTTGTTATATTTATATAGAGTATTTTACTAAATATTTACTTTGAGGGTCGACAGGATAGATAATAGGTCTATTCTTTTTAGCTAAAGTTCTTGCACGGTTCATCCTTCTTCCTTGTTTTTCTATGTTGGAGAGAAAAAAAAGTGAACCATGCAAGAAGTTCAGCTAAAAAAAATAGGCCTTATGCAGTCGGAGACGAATTTCTTTATGCTGAAATTATGGCTAAAATATTACATGAATATATTTTAATGTATCAATATTCGTAATCACAGGAAAGTCACCTGAAAGTTCGTACAGAGTGATTTTTTTGAGGAAAAAAAGCAAAATAAAAATTTATTCTGATATTTTCTGATGTGCACTTAAGGTGTATATAATTTTATTTATTATAACTTTTCAAGAATTAATTTGCAAAATTCGTACGCGCCTTCACAGCTTCAAAAGAAAAGAATCAAAAAAGTCTCATGACGTAATATTCTAGAAGATAAAATATCATCATAAAAACATAAATCTTTGTACCGCAAATAAGGAACATATTTTATTTATTATATAATGTCTTTAACGGCGAAATTGCAAAATTCGGTTCTTTAATAGGCTTTATAAAATATAAGCCAAAACATGGTTTCATGGCAAAATATTTCTTCTACAAGACAATATATAGTAAAGTCTAATAGAGTGCAGATATGTAGCTGCATCACAAATGAGGTGTGAATAAGTTGGCTTATCACTTCTGTCGACCCTTCCTTCAGACTCTGTATATATTGTAATGTATATTTAATTTGAAGGCATTATTGAAATTATTTAGTTCTATCGACATTATTTGAAATTTAATGTACATGTTGGAAAAATAGTTAAAATTTAAAAAAATTATTTTTTTAGTTTAAATAAATTACTTATTAAAGTGCCCTTAAATTGAATTGAAAATTTAACACGGTTCTATTAAAATCAGGTCTCAAGGCGTTAAAGATATTTATGAAAAAAATGTTTTAATACATATTATTGTTCCTTTTAAAATCATAATTTGTATACTCTGAGAAAAAAGTTCTTAGCATTTGTGACCATCATAATTAAATTATGGTTATTACTGCTACAATGTTAATAATAACAATATGTATAGATTAAATTATAATATTTATAGTCATTTTTTAAACCTGCCAGTATTTCATATGATTATTTCACAAAATGATTATAAAATATGGTTAAATTATTATAATTGTAATCATTTTTATGGTATATATAATAATTATGTAATCATTTTCGATGCCAATTATATATATTTATATTGAAAGAACTGTATCATATAGTTATTATTATTAACATTATAGTAGTAATAACTATAATTATAGTAATTCCCAAGTAGCACACAATGCCTACAAAGCGTTAAAAAAGGGCTAAAAACGTGTATATAAGCGCTTTTTTAGCGCTTTGCAGGCACTACTGTGTTACTTGAATAACATGTAATTATATAGTCACAAATACCAAAAATTTTTCTCCCAATGTACGCGAACATAGTTAATATTACACAATTGTAAAATCTGTGTTAAATTTAACATATTTTATTTCAAACGGTTTCAAATTTTTACATTAATTTGACATAGAATGACTACACTAAAATATAACACAAACGTTATATAAAAATTAATATAAAAAATGTAACGTAGATACAATTTGGAAATAAATTGTGGAAGTATATTTTTTCAGTAAAGCATATTTTTTTCAGTTAACGTTAAAAATATATATGTATATATATTTATATATATTTTTTATTATTTGTTCACTTATTTATAAATTGCATTATTTTAATTAATTATAAGAAATGTTCAATATCAATTTAACATATTCAAATAACATAATTATATATTAAATTAATATTCGAGTATGTTAAAAATTCAACACGAAAATTTTGGGGCTTCTACAAACCACCGATTTTGTAGCGCCATAATCGAAAACGCGACTCGTTCATACGAAATTGTGGCGCTACTAACACTTGTCTGTAGCCGCTCTTAACTGAAAAAAATGAAGAACACGAAGGAACTCTACGCAGCAAAAAATTTGTACTACAAAACTTTTGTACTTGTATCTAAACGTATCAACAATGCAAAATTTACAAAATATTTTTACCGTGTAGAATCTCTTCGTTTTTTTCACTTTTTCTAGCGTTACGAAAAAATTAGAAAGCAAAGTAAACTCTTCAAAAATCTTATAAAAAATTCCCTAGATATTTGAAACATTATTATTATTCTGTTATTTTACATCTTATAGAAGAAAATTATAACTGTTGGTTCTCTCGTGATTATTTTTAGAGAAAAATTTACGCTCAAAGTGGAGAAATGTACGGGATTATTTTATGAAATACGTAAAACATATTATGGAAATATATTTTTTTCAGTAAATTAGCATATTTTATAATAAAGCATATTTTTTCAGTTAACGTTAAAAATATATATACGATTTATATATATTTGTTATTATTTTTTCACTTATAAATTGCGTCATTTTAACTAATTGTAAGAAATGTTCAATACCAATTAATGAAATATTCAAATAACATAATTACATATTAAATTAATATTCGAGTATGTTAAAAATTCAACACGAAAATTTTAACTGAAAAAAATGAAGAAAGAGACGCAGCAAAAAATTTGTACTATAAAACTTTTATACTTGTATCAAAACAAATGCAAATATTTTTACCGTATAGAATCCCTTCGTATTTTTCATTTTTTCTAGCGTTACGAAAAAATTAGAAAGCAAATTAAACTCTTCAAAAATTTTATAAAAAATTCCCTAAATATTTGAAATATTATTATTATTCTGTTATTTTACATCTTATAGAAGATAATTGTAACTGTTGGTTCGTGATCATTTTTAGAGAAAAATTTACGCGGAAAATGGAGGAATATACGGGATTACTTTATGAAAGAGCTGAAACTTCAGAAATCGCACAAATCTGGGCCCGCCGGACGAAAACGGAAGAAGTACATGTACTTTGATCGATTGTTGTTTCTCATGCCAACAGTGGAGAATAAGAGGTATCAACTGTCGTCAGAAATGACAAACGATCAATGACAACGCTAAGTTTGACCTTGTTTTAGGATTCCTACGAGTATCAACCTTCCTTGCAAATCGGAGGAAAGCGAGGGCGAGGTGGACAATCCTGTGATCGAGGAGTACGATCCCCTTACACACGGCGGTGCCTCTATAACAGGTACCTCTATAACAGGTAGCCGGGAGTATCTTCAGACGGGTACACCCTCGTACAAGGTGTGCCCGCGTTATTCGAAACAGCTGTGCGAGACATCCTTCACGCCGTTCGACAACGAAATACACGACATCCTCTCCTCACACAGCAGTCAGCGCGTTACCCTCGACGAGGATGACTACGACAAGATGTTTCTCCTCTCGCTGCTACCAATCATCAGACAGGTGCCGGAGGAGAAGAAGCTGGACGTTAGGATACAGATGCAGCAAGTTCTGGCCATGGCACTCCGCCCGTCTGATAACAAATGAATCGTTCAGTATGCGTGATTTTTCTTTTAGCAAGAGAAGATAATCAAAATATGCACTGAATAGAAAAAATTTTTGTAGCGACTTATTTACATTATGAATATCTCGTGATTTAGCCTGTTTTAGCCTATTTTCTTGAAGAGATTAATTATATTTATACGTTTTAGTGGAAATTTGGATAGCGGAAATTTTTAATGAAAATTGTCTAAGATTTTATTTAAAAATTTAATGGATATGCATATATAATATAAAAACTATTTCATTTACTGTGTCCTAACGTTTGCAAGGTTTACGTTTGGCAAAGTACTTTGTTATTTTTTATTATGTAAGCATCGATAATGATGTAGATATAGCATGTTCACAATATAATTAAGGTAATTGCACAAAAAATTTAAATTATATATACATATGTAAATCTAATGAGGACTGTTGAAATAATCACAATTATAGAATAGGATACTTAATATAAATTTTATACAAAGTAAATATGAATATAAATACTGCGTCTGTGATATATTAAGCTCTACTTGACAATCGAAGAAACGAGGACTTCAAATGTGTAATATGGCGCAATCTTATCATGTTAAGATGATTCATCTGAAATCAATTGAAATATATATCGCACGTCTTATTCTGTAAATTCCTATTTTCCAACTCCGGAATTATATTTTTATGCCTGAATTTGCGCATATTTATGAACATTATCGTGATATAAATTTAATTACCAATTATATATTGTATATAAAGTATCATTATTAACTGCATTAAAGTTTATTACATTGCACTTTATTATTCTATGCGTTAATTTATACCAAATATGATAACTTATCGACAGGGATTGAATATCACTAGAGCAACAAATTTTTACATTACCGACATCGAATAATATCACAATATTACAATAATTTTTTTTTATTAATTGCGATAAATTCAATTTTAATTTATAAATTAAAATATATTTTATTAATTATAATTTTTGTACAACTACATATATAAAAAGTATTTGTAGATGACTGAGAAGTCTATGCGCATGTACTCCGTCGGTGCGGTAGGATTTGGTGGATCGATCTAAAAGAGAAAGACAGAAATCTACGAAATTATTTTTTACTTATATTTGTAATTTTTTAACGCATAACGCATTATAATGCATAAACGAATCAATTCCAATCAGAATCCTTCCTTTCCGATCATTTTACGGAAAAGAAGAATTTTGATTGGTCGATTCTCTTATACACCATGCATTATGCGTTATGCAAAAGTTTGTACTGCGATTATTACATTGATCTTTCTCTCTTTAAAAAGTACATTGCACGCAAAAATTGCGATTATATTCAACGTGTTCCTTTATTAAATTGATCATAGAAGTCGGCTGTTGGTTGATGCTTATAAACGAGGCGGTTCAGATATTCCTGATGTTGCTTCTGTTGCTCAGCAAGCCGCAAATTCTCCTCCGCAATTTTCTTATTGAGCTCTCTAGAAGAATATAAATATCACATAGTATTTAACGTGTTCTTTACGTATACAAATGCTGAATATAAAAGAATTTATTATCATCAAAGAATGTTTAAAGAAGCAAGTTAAAAAAATGGTTTTTTTTTTCCAAAATTATATCATTAAAAATAATCTCGTTATATAAAATACACTTAAATATTTTTTTAAATGATCTTTAAATAAAAAAATGAAATACGAAATTATTTTAGGATCTTACGATTTTCTTTGATTTAATTCGCAATTATACGAGTATGCGGCTTGAAGGTGCGAATCCATTAAGCGATCCCAAGTGTCGTTGATGCGTTTCTCTTCCAATTTGATTTTCTATAAAAAAACGAGTTTCCGTGCATTCTTAAAGTTAATAACTCTGTGTAGATTTATAAGGGCTAATGAATATTTGAAATATATCATTGCATCAAATAAAAAAACTTATTTTAAATATATATATGTATATTAAAATAATGCGTGTAACCATGAATCAGACGTGACGTCATCAATAATCAATGACGCATACACAGTTTTTGTCTACTGTTGGCGTATATTGTTATTTATGATTATAAATGTATAAATTATATCTGATTTACAAAATTTTACTCGAATTGGCTCCTTTTTTAACATCTTCCATTATATTGAATTGAACAGCTAAAAAGGAACTACACTGAAAAAATGTATTAAATTTTAATAAATATTTATTTGAACAGTACTAACTAAATATTTACTAAATATAAACGTACATTTATTTGGTACAAGAAGCATTAATGTGACTTAACTATCATTTTTTTAGTAAATATTTGTTTACTATAAGTAAATGTTAATACTATTGAAAAAATGTATTATATATTAAGATTTAAATTTTTTTTCTCAGTGTAGATTGATAGGATTGTTGATACGATAAAGCATAATTCCTCCGCTCATACTAACATGGATCTCCTCCATTTGTTGCAACTGAGCATCTCTGAAGACCTTCAACTCGTCCGTATTCATGCCCTTGTATCGGTCCGTCAATGGCTTGTGCGGACCGCGGGTGCTCTCGGCCTGTTCCTTAGCCTCGGTGAGGAAATCTCCAGTCACGTGATTATAGATTTCCGCTTTCTTGTCCTCCTCATCTTGAACGGCTTCGCAGTGACGGCGATGCTGCTGCTCTTCGGCCTGCAATCGAGCGGAAATAAATTCCGCGAAACCATCGCGGAGCATTGAAGGATATATATATAAGGGCCAGGGAAGCGGTTGCGAACCTGATAAGGAAGAGAGATTAATGCTGAGTTAAAATACAGCGGGAGAAATAGAGAGAGGAATAAAAAAGAAATCGACGGCAACTTTAGCTTGTAGTTATCGGGGCAAATTATCGTAGCACTTTGCACGATGATGTCATGAAGTTTATTCATCGACTACGAGAGAATCGCGTAGGTGACTTTTATATCCCGCGATGAGCTAAAATGTATGCGGACTGCGCAAAACTGTAGCGCGGTGTCTTTTATTATGTTGCATCTGCGGTTGGTTTATTATTATAAGCGCTTTTTGATCATATTTATTCTCTGTGAGAAAGATAATATCACAAAAACGTTTACAATTTCTGAAAAAGGAAAAAGCATTCTGGCAATGACAATAGCGTAAATTATAATTGTTTCAATTCCGTTCATATAGTTGTAGTTTTGTAATATTTAAATATATGAAATTTTGTTTAAAAAATTTCATATATTAGTTAGTATATATTAATTAGGGTTAGTATTTATTTGTATCATTCAATAAAATCTTTTTTACCCAGAAATAGTCACCTACAAAATAAAAAATATTTTATGCACTGAGAAAAACGATCTGGTTGGATTAAATAGTAATTCTGGTGGAAAATGGGTGAATCAAAACTTTCTTAAAAATACTAAAATTTTAGTTGAGATAACTAGAATTTTGATTGATATAATTATTCTGATAAAAATAAAAATTCTAGTAGACTTTATCAGAAATATTATTTAATCAGAATTCCGGTTATTTCAACTAAAATTCTATTAACCGAACAATTTTGATTCGTCCATTTTTAACCAGAATTTTTTTTCAATGTACCAGTGTTAAAACTGATGCTCATTAAAATTTTTGTGTTGAATTTTTAACATACTCGAGTGTTAGTTTAACGTAATGTGATTATTATTTGAATATTTTGTATTAAATTGATATTTAATATCTTAGTGTTAAAATAATACAATTTATGAGTAAGTAAACAAATACATAAAAATAATGTAATTTTAAGACGTAAATTCTAAGATAAATAAATAAAACCTCTTAATTTTACATATTATAAATGTTAATTTTATTAAAAAGTATATTTCTCCATAATTTATTTCCAAATTGTGTCAAAATGTTGTATGTTAATATTTACGTAAAGTTTGTGCTATTTTATTCTAACATATCCATCTTGTTTTAAATTAACACAAAAACTTGAAACATTTGAGACACGCGAAATGTGTCAAATTTAATACAAATTTTTCTACTGTATATTTTTGTTTTAAATAAACAATAATAAGAATGTTTTGTTTACGCCCTAATTTAAAATTAGTAGTTAATTATATATTGTATATTATTGATTGTTTTATAATTTATTAATAGAATTTTATTTACGCTTCAGCATATACAGCCAAAAAGAGGACTTGGTTTACAGAAAAGACTTAACTCATTCACACTTTCATTCCACGTTCATTCCTCAACCGTGTGTTATCATACAGGTTTATAATTTATTAATATTTGAGATCATTATATATATAATATAAGATTTATTCTCAATATTTTATAAAAAAGGACAAATAAAAAAATAGATATAGATTCTCGGTCAGTAAACAAAGGTATTGTAACTAAGCTTGATTTTCTCGCTGTTGGAGTGTAAAAAACACCTCAGGTAACTTTAACCCCGAGTTAAACAAATTTAGATTTTCCTGTGATTATAGCTTTCATATGTGTCCGGAATTTTCTTAAAAAGAGCCCGACACAAAAAAGAAGAACGAACTTTGTCACATCTTTTTAATCCTGTTACATATACATATATATTAGAATAAGATTGAAATCGGAAACAAACAGACGTAGCGCATGCTCTAATGTGTCAAACGTAACAACGCTCAGAACGATTGCTTCATTGAATATAACTGATATAAGTGGGTGCGTATTCAAATATAGACATATTCTTATCTTCTATCGGACATGATCAAGCGTTAGTCGACTAAAATCTCTTTCCACGAAGTGGCTTAATAAAAAACGTTACCCCTTTCGAATATCCATCTTACTCGCCAGACCCGGTTTCCATTCGACTTCTACCTCCGCCCAAAGATCAAATCGGTCAAAGGAATCCATTTTTTGCCGGTAGAAGACGCGAAAGCAAAAGCGGCGGAGTTCCTAGAACGCGAAATAACAGCAGCTGCTGTCGCACATCGATTAGGAATGAAACCAGAATTATTTTGAAGATCGTACAATTGATTTTATCTGATTTATTAAAAATAATTGAGTCTCCTTTCTTGCATTGAATCTAGATTAACTTGAAATTGACGCCAAAATCCGTAATACAGTTACTGATGCTGGATTTGTGAAACCTAGTTAATTTATGTTAATTAAAAAGCACTAAGTAAT